AAGGTAGCAGGGGGAGCTTGGGGAATAGCTGTTCGTCTTACTGCACAGTAATTAGCTTGGCAAACTGAAACAGTAACATGATTAAATCTGATACCTAGCCAAAATTGCCAAAAGCAAAAAAAAAAAAAACAACAAAAAACCAACCAACAACCCTCCCATTCTGTTAGGGGTGTTAAATGGCTTTCTAAGTAGTGGCTGCCACAGTTCTATGTGCCCTTTTGGAAATGGTATGGGCAGTGTGACATCAGAGATCTTCAGTTTCCATGGTGACGATGAGTGATGGCATTCCAGATGTTGTGTAAGCTTTTACAGTGTAATTCCTTCCACCTTCCACCGTACACCAAGGAGAGAAACAGCTTTATCCTGACAGGTTTAAAGAAAAGAATGCTCATCACTCAAGTCAATAAAGAGAGTTTGTTACTCTTAAGCAGCTTGTTACTCTTAGAAGACACATGAGTAAACTGGTGAGTGACACTAACATGTCTGGATTTAACAAGGACTAGCAACTGCTTAGATATTTCAGCAGTAATTAATGGTTATTTTCAGCTTATGTGTTATGTTACAAACTGGTTGTTCTTTTAACACTGATTTATCCATTTTATATATAGAAAAAGAATGTTTTTTTACTCTACAGTAATAATCCTGGGCCAGGGAGATGGCTCAGTAGAATAAGTGCTTGCCTGGCAAGCGCAAGGGTCTGAGTTCAATCCCTGGTCCCCCCCCCCCCAAAAAAAAAGTACTTAATCCTAAATGGAGAAATAATCTACTGTGTAGGGAGGGAGAAAAACTCTTTGTCCTGTGGCACACAGATCACTCTGGTCCAGCCTGGTCAGACACCCCAGGCTTCTCCTATTTGTGCCCTGACACACCTGGTCATTCTGATACTGATGAAGCTAAATACTTTACTTTCCTATTGTTTAAAAATTTTCGCATTTAAGATTGACAGTCAAGTCTAAAACACAGTTTAGCAGGACAGTCACATTCACTTTGAAAAAAAAAAACAATAAACTTAAGTCTTTTCTAATTTGACTTTGATAAATAAGGACATTTACAATTTTCCACGGAGCTGTAAATGTAGTTCTAGTTTTAAAAAAGATAATCAGCTATAAAATATATGGTGTGTATCTATACATAAAGCATACTGAGGTAAGACATAAAAAAGCTTGTCTTTTAATAGGAAAAACAAGAATACAGTCTTTCTGACTAGTGATCCAAATCAGACCTACTGTATAGCTGATACTGTCTAGAGGGAGAGACAAAAGTCATAAATCTAAGTAAGAGACAAAATCTGCTGGCAAGATGACAGGAAATCATAATGAATCTAAACACAAAAAATTCTACAAAAATGCCTTATTCTTGCAGTAAGGGTAACGATGGTAAATGATCCTGTCTCTCCCCTACTCAGCTACCAGTTATGCTAAGATGGAATATCGAGGCCACTACTGCAAAAGACTTAAAGGAAGGCCTTGGGACCCAGGGCAAAGATGGGTTTACAAATTGAAAACAAGGTCAGAGAAAAATGTAGGCCACTTAGGCCACAAGGTATCATTTGTGACCAAACTTACTACCTATTCACAAATTATGGAAAGGATTAATTACATGAGGGAAACTTTATCATCAGCAATTTCATCATTGAACTCCCAATCTATCATTAGACCGTGATATTAAAGAATCTACTTAAAATATAATCAGTAAGACCTAAATGGTCATAAGAACTAAACAAGTTAAGACTCCAAGGGACAGAATTCTAGATATCTGAACTGTGAAAGAACCTAACCCATTCACTTTTTTTTTTGGTAGACAATTGAACTCAGGCCCTTGTGCTTGCCAGGCAGGCGCTGTGCTGCTGAGCTGTACCACCCACCCCACCCATTTGCTTTTAAGAAGGAAATAAAGGCTCATGGAGATCAAGCAGAATTATCCTTGATTGCGAGGGCAGCCAACAGCAGAGTGGGAAGGAATCCTGGCTGCCCCCCACTCCCTCAGTCTCCATCCTGTACACCTTGGGGAATGGAGCACTACTCACAAAATGCAGCCCACAGACATCCAGTACCACAATGCCACCAATATCATAGAGAAATTTTCAGTTTTAGGGATCGAAATACATAGGAAAATTGACTTTTTAGAAAAATAAACTGAAATACACACACCACTGTACAGAAATCAGAAGTTGAAGCGAACAAATATGGAAGGAAAAGAAGCTAAAAACTATTACAGTAAGAAACAGAACAAATGTTCTTGATGGTTTTCATCTGAAGGGTGACCAGTGCTTGAGCCAAACAGAAAGCCAAGGCCCTGTGTGGTTTCTTCTACAACGAGCAATGGTGGGGCTTTCAGGCCAGTGGAAAGTGACATCCACTACGTCCTTTCTCCCAAAGAACTCACTTTAGCTGCAAGACATACCCCTGGGCTGTTCCCATAGAAACCCACTGGCCACAATAAACACCCAGTACAGAATGTAGCAGATGTACTGTTCCAGCTATGAGAAGGGTTCTTCCCTGACTCTGAGAAAGTCTCTTCTTATTATTTTAGAAACTCTCCATGCAGATGATCTAAAATTGAGCTATCATTTCAATTATGATAACAAGCTGGAAAGGAGACAGTTGCTGATTTCCACTTAGAAAGACACCCTGCTTAGAAAGGCAGAGACTGGGCTCTTAGGCAACCGGCTATGACCTCGGGCAAGTCAGGGGCCTCGCATGCAACACTTGTGTGGAGACGGAGGAGTGAAGGCAGATGAAATAGTGCCGGGCAATGATGGAATACGGACGCGCTTCAGTTTTGGAACTGATTAGGTCTTTGTAGACACCAGAAAATCACGTGACTTTACATCAGACTTTGGGAGTTCACAGAAAGTTATGAGTACTGTGACCACAGGGAAGAGACATCTGGAAGAGAATACTAAAATCTTGCTACCCTTCGGCATTTGGTTAGAAATGTAGGCTCTCTGGCCCCAGACTGACCTCCTGAGTGAGGGTCTGCATTTTAACAAGTTCTCCAAGTGATTCCTAAGACATTACAGTCTCACAAGTTCTCTTGACGAAAATGCTGACCGTGCACTGGCAAAAAAGGCCACGAACATTTCAGGTGTTCTCAAGCCTGCACAGGCGCACACCCGACTGCGGTGAAATCAGGCTGGCTCTTTCTTGCCAAACACAGGCTAAAGACTACTTTATTCTAGGTATCAGGGCTAGTAACAGGAGCCTCCTTTAGTTTACTTTTCTATGTGGGACTAAAGATGATAAGGAAAAATATATAAAGCTAGACATTTTAAGAAATGCTTTATTGGGCTGAAGAATATAGCTCATTGGCATAAGTGCCTGCCTGGCAAGTATAAGGTCCTGAGTTTGATGCCTGGTACCAAAAAAAAAAAAAAAAAAAAAAGCTTTATTAATTTGGGCAACACCAAAACAACATGCCCAGATTAAATGACTAAGTGAGCCTGGGTGATTCATTTTCATAATTATAATCACTAAGACTGAGTATGTATATTGATTCATTGAGTAGCAGCAACTTACTTTTTCCTAAAAAAACACATTGCAACTTTACATCCAGTTGAATTTTCAGAAAAGATTAACTTCACAAAAGCCGTAGTCCAGCTTTTGGAATGCACTTGTTTGATGAGAGAACAAATCTGGAGGATAAAAATCATATACCTTCTGATCCTGGCTTTCACTGTCTGAGCTTCCTACTAGGAATTACAATTTTGGTGGAAACAACACTGAAGGGTAGAGGTGAAGGGGATATGTGTCACTTCCTGCCCCATTCAACCAGAACTGCTTTTCTTGGTCACCTCCTGAGTTATCCCGTGGTTCAGGTTAGGAGTGGGAGAGCTTGCGACAAGGCAGAGAACACACTGTCTCCCCGTGGGCGCCTCGGCTTGCACAATCTTTGAGCTGGAGGAATCTAAAGAATCGAAGCAGGAATGAGGCTGCCCTTCCTCTGCCCTTCTCCACTGCAGCAGGTCTGGTGACCCTGCCGGGAGAGGGACCGCTTCATCTCTGCGGGTGGAGAGCCCCGGGGTGGGATCTCACAGATGGGCCTCACTGCCTGCTCGCTCGGCACCCTTAGCTCATACTAAGATGTCCTATTGTATTTTCCCAAGACTTCACTCTTGATCAAGCTTAGTTTGAAAGCGCTCAGGTTTAGCTGTTTCTTTGGGTCTTTATTTCTTCATGAAGATTCCCGTGCTCCTGTGGAATTTATATTAAATAAATATGTACACTTTTCCCTTGTCAATGTATCGTTGCCAGTTTAATTTTCAGCCCCAGCCAGAGATGCTAGGAGGACTAAGGACATTTTTTTCCTCCCTTGCATTCCCAGACAAGGGAAAGCTGATTCCCAGGAGTGCTGTTGTGGAGAACAGGACAGAAGAAGCAAGAACTGCCTTTTAGGGCCGGCCTGATAGCTCAGTGGACTAAAGTGCCTGCTTAGGCAGAGCACAGCGGCCAGGGCTCGATCCTTGGGGAGCCATGCTGGCCCCGCCTGTGGGGCATGCTGAGACTGCGATTGGGACTGGGCGTGGTGACGCGCACCTGTAATCCCAGCACTTGGCAGGCTGAAAACAGGAGAATCACTATGAGTCCGATCTACGTAGTGAGACCCTGTACAGAAAAAGAACCCTGCCTTTTAGCATCTGTGCTGGAATTCAGGTTCTATTTTCATTTTCTGAGGGACAGTGATGATCTCCCACGGGCTCACATTTGTCTTGGATCCGTATCCTCTGAATCCATTTCCCTGGATAGTAACTGGGCACAAAACACAAGTGTGGAGCTGGCTATGGCTGCGCACTGGCAGGGGCTCAGACGCGGAGCTTCTTGCAGCCCACCCGCCACGCTGCTCTCTTGTGCTGCCTGCGTGATAGGCACAAGTCCTTGGCTACGAGCCCAGCCGGTAAGGAACACAGCAATCACACAGAGGGGCAAGGAGGTCAGAGCTAGACCTCACCACGGCACTAAGCGCAAGGTGAGTGAATCATGAACCTAGTCTTCCCCGGTTACCTGCTATGACAGCTATTTTCCCGGACCCGTGTTCTTCCAGAGCTATTCTTTCTGCTTCCTCCATCAGCAGCATGCCAAACCCCTAGAGGGAGAAACACAGAGGCTGGGAGATTACGAAGGGGAAGTCTGCTGAGAAAGGCCCATGAAATAAGAAGGCTGTAATTCAGCAGTTGCTAAAATCTGCTAGAAAGGATGACAAAAATTTGTTTATAAAAAGGAAAAAACCCATTCATTTATACCAAGACCGCATGGTAGCTGGCTAGTAAAAAGGCTGAACTCTCCAACACGAGCCACCAAACAGCACTCTTTCTGGATGACATATTCTGGTCACAGCACAGGGTCACTCCCACTTAGCTGTCTTCTTTTAGGTGAGTTCCAGGAGTCTCCAACATAGGGATCCGTGGCGGTAAGCTTTTATTTAAGTCTCCCCTCCATTTTCTAAAGGGGTTTACAAACCAAGCAAGATTCTTACATCAGTTTGGGGGCTTACCCTAGATCCCCAACACATTTTGCAAAACATTTTCTTGAGATTTTAGAGTTACTCATTTTACGTTGCTTGGGGTCAGAGTTCCACTTTCTTTACTAGTTCATGTTTGTGGAGGACTTTACTATTTTACAAGTGCTTTCACATCATCTCAGTGGGTTCCACAGTAACTTGAGTCATACAAAATTGCCAATATTAGATGATTTCTGACTTCCAATTTTAGTGTACGCACTGCCAAAGTGAGCACGATTTCTGAATTTCTAAAGCAGCAATTTCTCATGGCTCAGCTTGGCTGAATCTACGTGTCCTTCCCTCTGGCCTCATCATTCCCCAAAGGGAGCATGTGGAGAGAAAACAAGGGCGAGCAAACGGATTCTTTTGTCTCTACACCCCCTTCCCATCTTCTCTTTTGCTTCTTGTTTCTCTCCTCACTCATTCCTGTTCTCTTCCCACAATGGGTCATCTCTTAATTATAAGCCAAACAGAAACAGAAAAGCGGGTACCTGATGCTGAAACTTAGTGGGGTCCCGGCTGCTCACAGGGACTACACTTCCGTACACGTGCAGCTCTCGCACTATGGAAACACCTCCGCCCAGCTCGTACCGGAAGGTTTCCTCCGAGCACTTGCGCAACCGCAGCAGGCCAATTAGAATGTCTTGATCAGGGTCTTCGTAGGACAGGAACGTCTCCCAGCCACCATTTGCAACATAGTCTCTCCTCACCAACTCAACCTGTTGAATAAAAAACCACAAGAAGTAAATTTTAAAAAATTATAGAACCAAAATTATTTTTATAATTGTATGTATTTATTGAGGCTAATATCAGTCAGGAATAAAGAATGAATCATCCCTAATTATGTTTCTTTTCACTTGTCTCTTCTCAAATAGCACAGAGATTAAATAGGAGTTCATGCTTTATTCATGGACTATTACAAATGGGGAACAATTTTATAAATATTTGAACTTAATTAACCTTAAGATTCTTATATAGATATTGAGCTCAGCAAATGCTCTTGCGTATGTACATCTTTGTTCACAAACTGTCTCTAAGACAAAAGGTACAAATTATGTCACACTGGTAGTTCTTAGGAATAGTCCTTTTTTACCCCTAAACTGTCAGATTTAATGTTTTCATTTCCTAATCCTTATTTCCTCTAGTAAAAATTGCTTTAGGAGGAAAAACAAAAAGATACTGGACTGCTGTTCCTTAGGTGGATTACCCACAAAGGGAGGTAATAATTTAGACCAACATTTTATGCCTTCTCACCTTAATGTTTGCTAAATAACTGGACAGTGTAAGAATCTGACAAAATGTTTAATTGTGTTGGGTTTAATTCTTCCTTAAGGCAGCCAAAGCATATAAAATGTCAATTAAATAAGAACAGAAACATCAATTCAGAGATCATTTTTAGTTCAGCTTTTCTCAAACAGGGGTCCACCAGAGTTACACCCCACAGAGACTTCGGCACACAGCTAGACACTGTAGGTGTAGAGGGAAGTTAACTCACTACCTATGACGAACACTTTGGGGCAGCGTGGATCATGTGGCAATAATGCCGTCTGTTCATGTGACGAGCACCCATAGGCAACAGCGTAACAGCTATACGCGGACAGGCAGCTCTACCTGAGGGTAGCCGCCAGTAGGTGGCTATCCACATTAGAGTTAAAGGGGAATAGAACTAACCCCTTAGTTCTTTATGGCAGTAGCCACAAATAAAGTGCTTGACGGTGCCCCATGCAACTTGCGGCTACCAAACTAGATGCTCAGGTCCCGGAACATTTTCCACCCTGCAGAACGTGCTGGACACTGCTGGTCTAGAACAAGGGGCAGATTCAGTTTTCATAACCTGCCTCTTCTACAATTCCGCTAGCCTCCTATTTAGCTTTCATCTTGACATCTGTCTCTAATCTTCAATTACTCTCTGAGTTACTCAGAGAGTTAAGGGGATTTAGCCCTGGCAAAGTTTAAAAAGATACTAACCTGGTATGGCCGTACTTTGTGGTGAATTTCTTGGATTCCAACCTCTCTGGTTCTCACATCCCGACACTGTTGTTAAAAAACCAAAAAAGGTATGTGGTGATTACATGGTAACTACTACAATGTTAATTTAAAATTCTTTTATGTAAACTAATCTTGGGCTCAAATTAAATTTGGACATAAAATAATTGGATTTTAAAAAGGAACCCATCTTTAATAACTTCGATGATGGGAAAACCACAAGCTTGTAAGGTTGTATTCTTTTGCTTTTAAAATAAATTTAGGATTCAAAAGAGACCAATATGTAATATAATCCTAGGCATAAAAGACATGTCAGAAAGTTAGAAAATACTTTTGCCCAGTGTATACAACTATCTGAAAGTAAAATTCCAAACCATGTGTGCAGAAGAGTAAAAATAAATTCTTGAAATAATATAAAAACACAATTCAATTACATGCCTTGTGGTATATTGTTCTCTACACATACAACAAAGCATAACATTGTTTTCAGGATCCTGATATTTTCCGCCAGAGAGAAAATACCACTTAGTATAGGAAATTTGCTATCTTGAAAGCTATTTCTCTAATAACATATTTATGAAGAATTGTTATGTACATATGGAATTTCATAAAAAAAGCTTATTATTCAAGTCTACAGCAAAACAAAACAAAGCTATTTCCATGTCTCAGAAACCAGCCCAAGATAATGCTGGTATAGATAATGTCGCAAGCAAGAGTCACCCCGTTCTGTACCCGCTGATCTAGTACTGTGGATGCTGTCTTTGTGCTACAGTAATCCCATGGTTTGCATGTCAATGTATCAATTATATGCTTCCACCAATGGTTGCTGCTTCATTCCTCCTACTTGGGGTGGTGGTGAGTACTATTTTAAAGGTGGAGATAAGGTTATTAACACTATTGGTCTATTCTCAAAAAAAAAGAAAAAAAAAAGAAAGAAAGAAAAAAGAAAAGATACACAATATGAAGTTCTAGAAGAGAAGTAAATGCATTTTCAGTAACTAATAGACCAAATGAGACTGAGTGCTATTCTCTATCCCTTCAGTCCCTGCCTTGACTGGTTGCTGAAAGTCTCCTCCTCTATCTGCCTTCTCTAAACCCACGCCCTGGTAAGCCTGGAAAGCTGTTATGTAGGTTGGGAATGAGTTTGAAAACCTTCATCTGGTCATAGCCAACAAACGTCTAGCTCCCATGGGTAGCATCTTTAACAGGAGGATTGCCAGGAATTTGAGGCCAGCCTAGGATACATAGTGAGTCTGAGGCCAACCTGAACTACATAGAGGAAACCTGTCTCAAAAAGCAAAAGCCAAAATCCACAGGGGTGGGCTGCGGTGAAGCAGCCAGATATATGTGGAGCAACAGCATGTCTCACAATGCTTTCCAGCACATAGTCCTTATCCGTTCAAATGATCCTAACTTCTCCTGAGGAACCACATTTATTTCTCTACAATTTACTGTTCAGGAACCAAATACCCCGTACTTCAGCAAAGAAAGTATTCTGGAAAAAGGAGCTGAACACCTAGTAGGCAACCACAGCAAGTAGAAAAAACAACCATTAACACTGACAAAGCTACGCTCTTTGGTAGGAGAAGGCAGAAGGGAAGAAATGGCCAGAAGGTAGCCTCTGCTGCCACTTGTTGCAGAATGGCTTCAACATATGAAAATTTCCTGACAAACTGATAAGAGGTTTGTAAGAGCAACTGTACTAAAGATTTTTGTGTAGGGTAACCTTTCTTCTCAGCAGCATGTTGTGCAGCTGTAAGTATCCATACCTGTATCCCAAGGTCTTTCATTCTTGCAAACGCCAGCTCTCTCAGGTTGCCATGCTCCACTCCCGAGCTGACTAGGGGCATCGGAATGTCTCTGTGGGAGAAGGACAACAGCTGTGGCTAACACAATTCATTCTCCACAGCAGTTATGGCAAGGATATTAACAAGAAGAAAAACAAAAGTGAAAAGCAGAAAAGCTATGAAGCATTCACTTGTTTCACTCAAAGGAAAGCAGATGCCAAAGAGCCTAATCAGGAAGGAACGTCCAGAGCATCCCCAGGTCTCAGTCTTCTGATGTACAAAAAAACCTGTCATCAACGTTTCAGAGTTTGGGTGAGAAATATTTTGACAGAAATCATTTTATTAAATTAGAAAGTACAAAGTCAAGGCCTATGTGCCCAATAACTATCACTATGAATTTTTGACTAAAGAGATATTTATAGTAAATAGAACATGAAAAATGGGTTTTATAAAGTTGAATCTGTTTAACTGAGGTGACAGGAACTTCTATTAGTGCACTACTTTAAGCTTACAAACATTTCCATATAATTACTGCTTGAAAGGAATCAAGAAACTCAAGAGTCTGACATGGCCAGAAACTGGTCTCAAATAATACAATTTTCTTTCTCCACTTCCCAAAAGTCTACATTAGATTTGACTGCATTAAAACAGTAATAACTTGCCTAAAGACGAGGGGAGATAAAAATTCACCTCCTGGCATTAATGTAGCATAAAGTGCTGGGCATCAACACTGCTTCAAAAGTGGAAGTTATAAATTCCATTTAGTAACTATCTCTAGAAAAAACAATTAGTATACATTAGACTATCTCTAAGAAACAAAAAGACTAAAGTAAGAATATGTTTGGCCCTTCTTCCTATTCAAAGAGTAAGTCTCCAATTGATTTTCTAATACTTGGTTGATCGGAAGATGTGAAAAATATGTCGGTTTTCTTTGCTTTCCATTTTCCTTTTGAACCAATTGAATCTTTTTCTTCCCTTTTCTCTTATCCCTTCATACTTTAAATACAATCAGCTAATTTATCCATTTTATTCTAATAAGATTTGTTTCACTCAAAGGTATCAAAAAGTAACCAATTAGCACAAAGAGCTATTCATAAGTCTATTAGGGTCTCGGAGCAGGCAGTTTCTGTAATAACACTATAAAGCAGACACACCAGAGATTACAAGTGACAGTGACGGCATTCGGAGCAAAAAACAACAACAACAACAACAACAACAAAACCCTTATTCCATTTTTAGCTGGAGAGATGGCTTAGTGGAATAAGCGCTTCCCTGGCAAACACTAGGGCCTGAGTTCAATCCCTGTTTCCGCCAAAAAAAATACACATTACAAGTGACAGCGACATTAGAGTTAAGAGGTAGTGTACACAATATGGTTTACTTACAGTTTTTATAAAAATTAATTTCTATCTTTGGAGCTATAATTTCTTAAAGCTAAATCTACTGTAAAGTTAGTAATCAGGTAAAACAGTAAAGGCTATTAATGGAAAAAGTATGGTTTATTTAGCAAGAAACATAAATATACTGTATGTCTTATTGTTTTACATAAACCAAAGGTAAAGTCCTTTAAATGTCCTCTTTAACCTTAAAATATTTTATAAATAACTTAGAAATATATTAAATATAACTATATTCCATATATATGAACATAAATATATTTCACTAAAATTTTCAAACATTGATACATGCTATCAAATTAATCTGATAAAATCAACTGGCACCATTACCTGAAAAGTAACATTCAATTCTTGCTACATTCCATACAGCTGCTGTGAATGCTGAGCTGCAGGACACGGAAACACTGCTCCTAGAGAACAGACGTAGGTGCCTATGAAACGCTTAACACTTTCTTCAAGTGATCGATGCATGACCATATTTTATGTGTTTCTTTTAAAAGACACCTAGTTGACACATCGCTGATTCATTAAAAATGAACTTATGTCCACAGCATAATTTTAACTCACGTCTTAAAGAAGCTCACCTAACATATATTTTCTTGAGGGCACATGAAGATAGCATTTGAAGAACAAAGGGGAATATAAACAGAAACACAAAAGCGCAGAAAGATCAAAAAACTAAACAAACAATGCCTGTAACAGGCTTATCAGCAGATGGATATGGCTGAGAAAGAAATCTCTGAGAGCATTATCAAAAGAAACCTCAAAAACTGGAAAAGCCAAGACAACAAAGACAGAAAACAACATTGACAACAACAGAATATCCAAAGGACTGTGTGAAAACTACACAGCTTTAACTCATGTAAAAGGAACCAAAAAAAAGGAAAAAAACAGAAAAGAACAGGAGAAATATCAAATATCTGACTGAGAATTTCTCCAATTAATATCAGCCACAACACAGATCCAGGAAGTTGAACAAATACCAAACAAGACACATGCCTTCCAAACCTACACTTAGGCATATCATTTTTAACCAAAAGAAAAGCAAAGATAATGAAAATATTCTGGAAGAAGTCAGAGGGGAAAAATACCTTAAAGAACACAGACTAAGAATTACATATATCAGCTCTTTTGAAATCATGTAAAAAAGTGGACTGAGATAAAGTATCTCACTTATCTCTTAAAGAAAAAAATCTATTACCTATAATTCTATCCTGAGAAATCATCTTTCCAAAGGAAAACTTAGAAATGAAAGCTTTCTCAGACAAACAAATGTTGAGGGAATTCATTTTGCTAACACATGTGCTCTGCAAGAAATGTTAAAATTTTTTTACCAAGAAGGAAAATTACACAGGTCAGAAATAGATCTACATAAAGAAAAGCAGGCTACAAATATGAGTAAAAACTTATTTTTCATTCTTATTCTAACAGAAGATCAGAGAAAAATCAACAAAACCAAAAGCTGGTTGTCTGAAAAGATCAACAAAATTACAAACCTCTGGACAGGATAACTGAAAAAAAAAAAAAAAGGGAGGGCAGAAATGACTAATATCAGAGACAGCCGTGGGGACATCACTACAGATCCTATGACATTCAAAAGAAAACGAAGGGATACTGGGATTGGAAACTTGATCCCCAGAGTGGTACAGCTGGGAGGTGGGGCCTAGTGTGAGGCCCTTAGGTCACTGGGGGCGTGTCCTCAGATGGTAGCTCTCTGGTTCAAAGGAGCAAGCCTCATGCAGTATGTGATAAAAGTGCTTCTGCCACTGCTCTGCTCCACAAGGTGACCCGGGGCACAGGTGGCCTTCACCATACAGGCTGCATTATGCCACTGCCACTAGATGCTGTCAATATACACAACTAAGAAATGTGTGTTTATGCATTCATGGTGTGCATTTACATGTAAAACATAAAGGTTCATTTGTAACTATTTCTATACATAAATTTAAAAATCCACATGCTCATACTGGTAATCTCAGTAAAAACAATGTCAGTGTTCTTTTCAGCCTTTCAGTATCTATAAATCCCTTCAGGCCCTGAGAAAGGTAGCTTTCAGCTTTAGGATATTTACTCATAGGCTAAATTTATGTGTTCAATGTAACAGTCTCCCAAACCCTCTCTGCCTTCCCTCTCTTACCTCTATCCTGTGCCAAGTGGCAGGCATGTCACTGCCAGAGCCTCCATGGCACTGATTCTGCAAGGGGCAGGCCAAGGGGGCAGGAGGGGAATGGAAGAGGAGCTCTACAAATATTTTAATAATAAGCCAGTACTTTTAAAATAGGAAGGCTGGGAATATAGCTCGAGCTGTAGCACTTAGCAATCAGGCAAGGCTCTGGTTCAATCCCCAGCACCACAAAAATAAAACCCTAAATTCTCAGAAGACATAAACCCATTATTGGACAATGGTAGTAGGCAGAACTATCTGACAGCAAGAAAGCCCAGCAGGCTGCTACACAATTTGTGGGACGCTGTGCAAGATGAGAAGGTGTGGCTCCCCATTTTAAAAAATTATTAATAAGTTCAAGATGGTGACAGTGGGGCATTCGACCAAGTACAAGGGCCTAGGAGATGAACAGGTCCCCTGCTCCGAAGCTGGCCCCAAGGACTGGAGAGGACCTGGCAACACAGGGATGCACAAGAATGGTGATAGTTCATAAATGTCCTTAAATGTATGTATGTCATTGCAGAAAGGAAACATGGCTTTAATGGTGCTGGGCAGTGACACACCTGGATGGCACCAGATGGAAGGGCTTCACATTGAGGAACAGAAACGTGGCAGCCGTCCACTTCAGTGATGAAGTCTCCTTCACGGAAACTGAGAAGCAAGCTAGGTGGAGCTGCTTCCCACATAAGCGCCGTCCTAGGCTGTGCGGGCTCCATAAACAGACCGTGTGGCTCTCTCCCAGGAGTTCAGAACCCCAGTGAGATGACTAATCGTCTGAACTAGGAGTTAAAGTTATTTTAAGGTTTTCAACTTAATTCAATCTGATTTCATTTTCTTGGGTGAAAGAGAGATTAAATATAAGAATATTCACTTTTCTATTTTAATAGGTAATATTCCACGCTTAGAGGTGCTGATATTTGCAATTTGCTCATCAAAAACCTTTCAAAGCGATGTCAAGAGCTGTTTTTGTCTGTTTTCTCACGCTTCAGAAGCCTGTTTTGGTTGCAAATTGGTATTCCTACTCCAAGCCTCACAGTGATTTAAATATCACATCAAGGCAGACAGCTGTCAAATAGCCCACAGGCAGCAGCAGTTTAATGTGGCTCCATCATGTGCCCGGACAGAATTTTATACTTAATCACTGACTGCACCCTTCTGGGTAGAATACAGATTCTTCTATCAGGATGCGGCTTCATAAAAACACTCAGGCAGATGTGACTGATTCAACTATCATGAAACTATAATGTATAAAACGGGTTTTTTTTGTGTGTGTCTATATATGGTGGGGTGTGTGGAAAATAATCAAGAACACCAAGTAATCTGCTAGTGAGATATAGTAAACACAGACAAGTGTGAACAGTGTTCTTACTTGAGTATCTTCTCTTCCTCAGTTGCTCCACACACCTGCCTAAAAAACAGTTCCTAAGTCTTTTCTCCACATAAGCCTTGTCAGCGTGGCTTAACTAGGCAGCAGTATGGAAGGCAAAGACGCAACCTCTGAGTAAGCCTGCA